TATGCATATATTCCTGTTGTAAAGCGCCTTGGACATGCTCATGGATATGAGCGCTATATAAATAAACTTTATTATTATGTAGAATTGTTGCACTGTCCTTAATTTCTTGTGGCCTTTCAGTGGCTTGCCACACTTCCTACACTGCAGTGCCTTTTGTTGTTTGCCACTAGTACCAGCTTTGGATAACAGTGATTGCAGTTCAGTTTCTGTCAAAAGTAAAAGATATTTTTGAATATAAGCATCAAGGATCTCATCAGCATGCACACTTGCTTAAGGGATTGAAAATTGAAATATTTTATTGYTTTTTTACAACTTTTTCAATGAATTGTTAAGTGTAGTGATGTGAATCTGATAGACCAGAAAAGATGGGACTTGCATATTTTCTGAACTGAACAATTCTTACTTTTAAATTATAATTTTATGAAATAAAGTTTGTAACAGTATTCATTGGGCACCTGAACATGTTGGAGGACAAATAGTAGTTTCCTTTTGTTTYCTGGATAAATATTTCTGCTTTGCTTCTTCTTTTTCTTGTTTTTCGATTAACATACTTTGCAGAGATTCTGGGACATCATTTTTTAATTCTGTTGATATTTGTTTTAGCTCTGTTCTTGGCGTACTTATCAAAGTTTCATATATTTCAGCAACATAATCTATTAGAAGTATATAATTAAAAACATAGAGTAAGTATTGTGGAGATCATTAATATTTTCAAAACCAATTTTGTTACCATAATTTTGTGTCACTTTCAGCTCTCGAACAGTTGCATCTACACCTTTGAATTTAGGATACTGGACTGTGAGTTTTGCCTGTCCATTGACATCTACTTTGCTGTCCCTATTGGTGTTATAATTAAAGTGAAGAGCAGATAGAATAGTCCTGGGAATAGAATGTAAAAATGCCATTACATATAATTACTTAGTACATAAACATGCTAACTGTACTTTTAGCACAAACATTTAAATTAAATTGCCCTGTGTCTAACCTGCTAAGCATGCCCAAATATGAAAATGCCAGCATTTTGGGTGCAAACTGGTTAATTACTGAGTGGTATCCTTCCAAAGAACTGGTCTGTTCAACTGGTGAGGCTTGTTTGATGGCTTTTACAAGTGAGGTTTTACTCAGAGCATCACATAGTTTCCAGTAKGCTTCAGAACCTGACATAAAGATAATTATTTAATTTTTGCTGTTGGTAATTACTTTAAGCCATTAAGGCAGTGTATTAAAGACAAGTAATACCTTTAGTTAGCCATAAGCGTGGAGTATTGATCACACCATGTGCACACTTGTTGAATACCTTATTCGGAATGTCCTTATGAACATTTATGATATGATACAGAAAGGAATTAAATTTGGCAATAATAACATCACCATGCTTAGGTGTTGTTGATGTCACTGCCCAGTAAAAATGGCGTACACAGGCTTTTCTCCATCTCCCAATGGTTTCACAGCCTTTTTCCTTAYTCAGTCGTATCAAAATCTTTTGTATTTCTAGTACAACAAGAAAAAAATTATATGTATTAGAAATATATTATATGTATTAGAAATATATTATATGTATTAAAAAAAATATTATATGTAATAGAAATATATTATATGTATTAGAAATATATTTAAATATTGATATAATGAATCAATATGTATCAATTTGCATGACCCCTACAAAATCTTGGATCTAGTGGTCCATATCCTCAAGATGTCCTTTTGATTTATAATTAGTATACCAATTGTTGTTCTATTCTCTTGAGAAACATATGTAAGCTTTGTCAGACTTACTTTTGCCAATGTGCCACAGATCATAAAAATGGTCTATTATTGGTTTTCCAAGGTCTTTGCATTTCTTTGGGCATTCAACCCTCATCCACTTAGCAATTGACTTATGCCTATCAGATATGAAGATCTTAATTATCATATCAGTGACCAGCAAGATTGTTAATGCTTTTTGATTTCCTTGAAATTCTATATTGGAGGAGCTTCCACATTGGTTTGCCTAATAAAAAGCAAAAGACGTAGTACAAATCATTGTTATTGATAAGATACATATATGTAATTTCTTAAAATGTGTTATGTCATATGCACCTGCAAAAGTACAATGTGAACATTAATAAGGCCAATGGTGCAGCAAAATATGGTATACAGTGTATGTGCCATATTTTGCTGAATGCCCCATGCTGTCGTGCCTTCCGTCTCCAGCAATAACTACTTCCTTGTCTTTCAGTGTTGATAGGATTTTGGCTTGATAAGTCCTCCAAAACATGACTATGGCAGGAACTAGGAGATGCCTCTGGTGGTAGTAGTAGGAAGGGTAATGATATATTAGAAGTCCCATGTGCTGAAATACCAGCAAAACTTTGTTGATTGATGCTCCAGCACACAGAATGGGGAAACTAAACAAAATATTTCCTTCTGGAAACTTTCCAAGGAGGGTTGGTTGACTGTTCCAGATGTGGTCATTCTTGCACTTTGAGCAGCTAGACGTAATCAAAATCTTAGTACCAATCTGTGAAACAGTAACTTTTGGATTGGGAAAGGAGCACATGTGGCAGGTCTGGAACAAAAGTAAGAGCCTTGAAAGAAAAACTATCCCCTTTGGTTCATCTCTTATGTTTTTTCCTTCATGATCTATCCTGCATAGTTGAAAAAAAGCCAGAGTTAGACAATGTTTGTAATGACTGTTTTGATTGTTTTCTGTGTTCAAATACCTTTTTTGCCGTGTACTCCCTATATGACAGTCATCAGTGGATGATGCTTCGAGCTCTTCTGCTTCTGTGGGATGCCAGAGGGGATCTTCATACTGCGTATCAGGGGTTGAATCCGGTTTTTCCTCTTCATCATCTTCATCATCATCATCATCATCATCATCATCATCATCATCATCATCATAGCTGGTGTACTCTGAAACAAGATCATCTGGACTGGAATCTTGAAAGTCTAGTCTCTCAGTTTGGATTGATTTGTCTTGCTTATTTTCTATAAATTATGAGAGAATAAAATAAAGGATGATTAAGTTTATGATTCACTTGCTGAAATGCAGAAATGAGAATGTGCATAAGAATAGATACCAGTAAGATTGCCGAAAGTCTTCACCCATTCCTCTTGATTACTTGACAGTTTGGCTTTTAATGTGCATATTTGTCTCTCAAGTTGTTTTTTTTTCTTTTCTTAACCGTTCACATCCTTGACATGGGTTTGTTGGTAACCTGTTTGATGAGATCTATAAGAAATGACACCAACAAATTAAAGCACCTAGATAAACTGATAGACATTTAATGTAACAGTTTTTAATTTTAAAATATACTCTTAAAATAACAGAGACAAACCCTGAGTCACTTTACTCACACATGTTTCAAGTTCAGGCTGATWAGTATTTCCTTTTTCTGATGATCCTTCAAGGGGAATTGACATGGGTGTTTCCTATAAGTCCATAAAAAGCCAAATTATAAATTTAATTTTACTCTTGTAATACTAGGTCAATACTCAGGAGCTGAGAAACACRGAGTGACTTTACTCACACAACTTGTATCCTGTTCAGGCTGACAATCTTCCCTTTCTTTTGAAACTTCAATGCCCAGTGACATAGCTGATGTTTCCTTTAAGTCCAAACAACCACAAAAATGGAGGAAATAAAAAAGAAAGAAAAGAAAGAAATAGATATAATTTTAGTTTAGCTTGTATTCTATCAGGTCAGTACTCAGGAGCTGAGAAACACTGAAATAAAATACAGTACTCCCACAAAATGTTGCAAAAAGTTGCAAAAAGGGATGCAAAAATATATATATATATATTGAATGATTGATTATGAAGGAATGGACAAATTTTTCCTGTGTTTTAATTCATGAAATATTTCTCATAGAAGTTCAAAAATATACTAACACATGATGGAAAGCCACAGTCAGCTGTTGAAGTGTCAATAAACAATGTTGCCATTTCATGATCAGACCTAGCACCAGGATCAACATCWACATCAGTGTCATCTGAAACTTGACTTGAGCTCTAAAAACAATCCTGCATTACATTTTTGGTTTTCAAAATTAAATATGGAGCACTATGAGCTCTATGAAAATAATATTTGTATAACTTGCTTACCAAGCTGTCTCTTGACATCGATTGCTCCTTGTTCTCCTCCATTATTTCTTTCAAAATCTTAAGGCCAAAACAATTTTATTATTCTTTGTGAATTTTAAATTAAATAATTATAAGTTCTTTGAATATATACATATATTTAGAGTTCTTTGTGGACAGCACATRTACTCAGAACATTTACTATCTTTTAAAGAGCACGAAYCATGTTCGTAAAATTGCGGGAAAATCGAAACTCTCACCTTGTGTCGTGAACGAGCGTCCATCGGTTTTTCGCCTCTTTTCCAAATGGTAGGAACCAACGCGGATAACCTTCAAGATGCATTTTTCTTTCAAAACAATTCATTTCGAAATGATCTGAGCAAATATTAAACCTTCCTGTTGGGTTGAAATTCGCGCGCGACGGGYCCTGACGAAGCGCAGCCATTGATCACGCAGAGACCTCACTAATGGACTTGAATGCAAAGAAATTCCTTTGGATTGCTTAGCGGTGTTGCTGCAATGTTGCACCACACACCAACTTCCCGTAATTATATTTTAAACGATAAAAATTGAATAAAAACTCGGATATAAACTTTGACATTTGCTGTGTTTATATACGATGAAGTAGCCATGTGAAGATTTGTGTTGAGTAACTGACGTCATATCCGCTGATACATTAGTTACCATGCCTCTCTCTGCCAGGAACATTCTAAATTAATGGCGGCGAAAGAAGAAGTACTTATTTTGTCGCATTAATCAACTTTATTGCTCAAATATGACAAAAAACAGTAACTTTAGGTATTCAATACATCTTAAAGTTTCAGAAAATGTAAAAATATCAAAGTTCGTAAATTCCATCGTAGTGGCACTTTAAAATATCTTTTTTATTTAGGGACATATGATAAAATGCTTATTGACTGAGTTAGGTCGGGGTGTACATGATAATATTTGGCTGTCTGTCATTTGTATGTGCGCGAGGTCCATACAGCATCAAGTCGAGCCAAATATTTTCCCATACGGCCCTCCCACTCAGTCAATATTAAAGTACAGAATATAAGCTAATTTGCATATTCCAAATTCTTTCAACATAGCGATTCTGAATGAATTGGCTGCAAATATTCGTAAAAATAAGTTGTGGACCTAACACTACTTTGACAACGTTGACGCAAAAAAACTAATGCCAATTTGTTAAATKACTAAGTTAATAATGTGCTTACCTTGCTATCTTTTCTGATAAATCTTGAGCTGAGTTCAGGGAAAACACAATTAGACCAACTTGAGTAGGGTCCGCCATTTTTGGTTTCCTACTTCTACAAAACACACGATTCTTTGCCAAACAACCCTAGCCTATTTGGTCTCGGATATCGTATACCACCTACTATTTAAGTGAATCAACCTAAAGACCTAAATCAATAGATTGTTTAATAGTAAATGTGCTTGTATCAGAAGCCCAAATCTACTTAATGAATTTGTACCACGTGCAAGGGTATATACTTCATATTAACATGCCATGTAATCGGCCTATTATATCAGAGATCAGTAATTGTAGTCAACTGTTTAACATAGCCAGGGATGGACCTGGATACTTTTGGATACTTATCCATCATAGGTATCCATAGGTCTGGTATCCATCAGTATCCATTGCTATACATGTCTATCCATAGCTATACATCAGTATCCATTGTTATCCATAACTATCCATAGCTATACTTCAGTTTCCATAGCTATCCGTGACTATCCAAAGCCATACATCAGAATCCATCAGTATACATCAGTATCCATAGTTTTCATCAGTATCCATTACTATCCATGACTATCCATAGCTACAAACAAGCATCCATCAGTATACATCAGTATCCATAGTATCCATCAGTATCCATTTCTATCCATGACTATTCATAGGTATCCATCAGCATACGTGGCTATCCATAGGTATTTGTAGGTATACATAGGTATTCATAGGTATACGTAGGTATACATAAGTATCCATCAGTATCCATGGCTATCCATCCAATCACTATCCATCAGTATCCATAGGTACACATGGCTATTTTCACCCCTGAAGCGGTTATGAAACGAGTACGCGCGGTATGTTATCATGACTTTCTGGGTGTGATTCCTAGGTGAGAAGCATTATGAATGCTCCCGTGTCGGCAGTTGCCTATTTAAGCGAGAAAATCTAAGATTTCGGCCTCATTTGCTCAGGTTCGCTGTACCAGTCAGTGCCTAGACATTTTTTTCCTTGGTTTTTCCGTACAATAGTCGCCGAAGCTTCCCTATACAACATTGCTTCGGCTAAATTTATTGTTCGGTCGCGTGCCGACCCTGAGCTCGGCTAAAGTTATTCTCCGGTCGCGTGTCGATCGTAAGGCCAATTGAACCGTGATCGGGTCTGTGTCGACCCAGTTTTGTAAGGATCTCTCACGTTTATAGGCAAACCGTATCAGCCGTATGCGGCTGAGCGTGGACCGTATACGGCTCAGCGTTCAAACCGTATGCGGCTGAGCGGTCAAACCGTATACGGCTGAGCGTGAACCGTATAAGACTGAGCGTGAACGGTATGAGCATGGAATGCGGCTGATGGATCGTATATGAACCGCATGCGGCTTAGCGTTGACCGGTGGTATGCGGTCCAGTTGTATACGGCTAACTGGAGTTAACCGCTGACCTTTTATTTATTTTACTTCGTTCTTTCTGTCTTTCTTTCCTACTTACGTGCTGGAATTAATTATCAGGATGGGGTTTCTAAAATTAATAGGGGGAAGTGGGCTTGTAGAAGGCACAAATGTAAAAACTGGACCCAAATGTAATAAGGGTCACAAATTAAGTGTGTGTAAGTATGTGTAAGTGTGTGTAAGTATGCATAAGTGTGTGTAAGTGTTTGTGTATGTGTGTGTGTATGTCTGTATGCGTATGTAACCGTGCGTAAGTGTGTGTTCGTTTGGGTGTGTGTAATTGGGTTTAAGTGTTTGTCTATATGCGTGTGTAAGTGTATGTAAGTGTGTGCAAGTGTGCGTAAGTGTGTGTAGTGTGTGTAGTGTGTGTAAGTGTGTGTAAGTATGCATAAGCGTGTGTAACTATTTATGTATGTGTGTGTGTATGTCTGTATCCGTATGTAACCGTTCTTAAGTGTGTGTTGGTGTGTGCGTATGTGTGTTTGGGTGATTGTAACTGTGTCTAAGTTTGTGTAAGTGTGTATAACTTTGTGTTAATTTGTGTAAGTGTGTGTGAGTGTGTGTGAGTGTGTGTAAGTGTGTGTAAGTTTGGTACGTGTGTGTAAGTGTGGGTAAGTGTATGTAATAGTGTGTAATTTTGTGTATGTGTGTGTGTATGCATGCGGGTGCATGCGTATATAAGTATGTGTAAGTTTCTTTAAGTGTTTGTGTATGTGTGTTTATTTGTGTATAACTGAGTAAAATTGTGTAAGGGTGCGTAGGCTTGTTTAATTGTGTGTAAATGTTTGTAAGTGTGCGTCGGTGATTTTCGCATGTATTTCAACCAAATTCAAGTTTTGAAAAGGTCTATTCTTCCTCAACTTGCAGCAAAAATATTATTTCAATCAGAGAACTTGCCCATAGTTAAATCTTTTTTTCTTTTGAGGCAACTAATTAGCATATGTAAACACAGGCCTTCTATTTTCCCTCGCCAAAAATTCGTCCCTTTCCCAATAAGTTTGAAATCCAGTCCAATGAACAAAAAAGGGTGATACATTAAGAAGAAAGTTCGAAAATTCTCATAGATGGTTTATTTTTTACGCGCGCTCTGTTCAAAGTTTGTCCATTTTCACTCCTCTTGAGCGTCTCTAGCTTGGGTTTCGGTCGGATCTCTTCTGTGGCCGTTTTCTCCAAAATAAAATAATATTTTCGAAAACCAACTACCCAGGGATTAATATCTAATAATGGCCTATCTAACTTTAAAAGAAGAGCGAATTTGATTTTTTGACCCTTGCCACTATTTGTTCGATTCTTGTAAACATTGCCTCTTAAGTATCATTAACATATTGGGAATATAAACCTTCGTATCTTAAAGACCTGACATTCAAATGACGAAATATTTTCACAATCAACTATCCACTATCTAAAGAATCAATTCTGAAAATATTGTGCAAAGGCTTATAAGCACTTTAAGGGTTTGTCTATATGTGTGTGTAAGTGTATGTAAATGTGTGCAAGTGTGTGTACGTGTGTGTAAGTGTGTGTAAGTATGCATAAGTGTGTGTAAGTGTTAATGTATGTGTGTGTATGTCTGTATGCGTATGTAACCGTACGTAAGTGTGTATTCTTGTGTGTGTATGTGTGTTTGGATGAGTGTAACTGTGTGTAAGTTTGTGTAGGTGTGTGTAAGTATTTTAAAAGTTTGTATATATGTACGTATAAACGTGTGTAGACGTATGTGTCCTTGTGTAAGCGTTTGTAAGTGTGTGTGAATGTGTGTCTAAGTGTGTGTAATTGTTTCTGTATGTGTGT